TGATTGGTTCAGCTAGCAGTACTTTAGGAAGTCATGACTTCTGTGGTGGTTACTTAATGCCCTTCAGTGAACCTTGAGGAAATAAGAATGAACTCGGAATTAGGGAGTTAAATAATTCAGTCCAGCTTCCCAGAAATCAGGAGGAGCAAGAAACAGAGGCTGGAAGAGGAATGATATGATTAGTGATGGTAGACTTTCAGCACTCTCTGAATTGCATAGATCCATTTTGAACTCACCATATGTAGGTGAGGACTAGAATGAAAGTTGCTGCAGCCTCAAATGCAGATCCTGAACTTTGGCAAGTCTTCCAAGTTTAAGCAAAAGTGACACTAGAGCTCAAATTGAGGGTTTGTGTTATATAGACTGTGCTTGATCTTACCTCTCAGCTCTGTGTTCTTGGGGAACCCTGGCACAGGATGCAGCTTGTCTGACTCACAAAGTATCCCCCCCCCCCCCCCCCCCAAACCCGGGTACAAATCAAGCCCCCCCCCCCCGCCCAATGAAACTGGTTAAGATTCAGTGAGAGACTTACCTAAGACCCTCCAGACAAGGGTGACAAGAGTGAAACAACTGCCCTAAGTCTCATTTGCATCCGAGATGGAACCAGATGACCATTCATTTACATGAAAGATGGAGAACAGAAAGCCTGAAGTAGAAACTGCAGTGAATTCTGAGATCAGAGAAGCAGGAGAGCACTGCATGATAGGGAATCTGTGCTCCAAAAGCTAATCAACCCCCATTTACAGCACTTATCAGACCAGTTATCAGACCAGTTGTAATCTGGATTTACAAATGACTCCCCCCCCCGTCTAAGTTTAATAGGCATCTCAGGCCGTACATTCCCTGGTCCCACTATGGGAGTCCTATTTAAACTTAATTGACTAAAACTCAGTTGCCGGGTTAGGGAATGCTGATGCAAAGAGACCAAGTCAGAGGGAGTATGGGCAACATCTGAACAATGGAAAAGGGGTTCATCACAGTATCCAGCTCATTGGAACCCTGACCACAAGTGTTGTCATACTTTTCCTGAGATGACTGGTGGAAGTCCTCTCCACAAAAGGTTATGAACACTCCAATAATTGCCTTAAGTCTGTTAAAAGACCATAGTAAGATCTGGAAAAGTCATGCTAAGCTGAGGCTTGTTCATGCTAAACTGAGGCTTGTTCACAAGTAAAAATCCAAAACCCTGATGCTGCAAGCTATCTATTGTTTCTGAAGAAATCATGAGATATCCTATCAGTGTATCTGCTATCCATAGGAATTTCAAGCTGGCTCTCAAGTGTCTGGTTACTCCCTAACCTTATGTGTTTCCTGATTATCAATCAGTTTCTTGAGATGTTCCAAACCAGATAACCCCTTGTCAATAGAAAAGACAATGCATTGAAGAAACTGAACTGAGGGTACAAAAATCTGTAAATAAAAGCAGCAGTGTGTGTGCTGACACCACCCACTGTTGTTCTCGGGACACTGGACGAAACAGATCGTCTCCCTTCAAGGATTGTGTTAAGACTTGTCAGAAAATAACCTGAATGCCTTGGACTGGTGATATCTCAGTACTCTTTCTCTCTTTTTTCTCTCTAGGCTTAAATTTCTGAACCTGAACTGTATTAGTTAAGCTTGAGTTAAGTTTTCCCAAATACTTAGTGAAACCAGGGTAGTATTGTCATTGTTTGTGTTTGTTTTTCCTTTGCATGTCTATTACTATCAGTACCATTATATATTTCATATACTTAGCAATAAATAACTTTAATAGTCAAACTGGTAGTAACTGGGTACATTTTTCCTTCTCTACTTCTTCCTCGCTTGCTCTGCAGCAACGCTTCTTTTATCTAAGCTAAAGATCCCTGTGAAGCCCAAAAATACTGTGGGGTCTGCTCATCAAGAGGCTAAAGATTGGGACGTGCTGAGTTTAAAACACATAAGGGGATCAGCTTGTACAGGCTGATTGACCCAGTTTGACTCAGACATGCCCTAATGAACTGAATGCTGGCACATGAGGGTGTTAGCTGGACACCCAGCTGGATTCAGAGGTATTCTGTTTACCTGTGTGCTTGTGTCTGACTGCAGTTTATTGTTGCTCTGATGAACTGATTCTTGGCATGTGAGGGTGTCAGCCTGTCCATGCTGATCAACCCAGCCAGGTCAGGCATGTCACATTAATCTGTGTGTGTGTGTGTGTGTGTGTGTGTGTGTGTGTGTGTGTGTGTGTGTATTTGACTGATTTGGTGGCGTGAGGAACCCAGCCCCATTGAAATAACATTGATGACAAACTCAACCCAGAACCGAACAGTGTGGACACGCTTTAAATATCAGTTTGGGAAAGCTCAAAGAAAAAGCCAACAAGTTTTTGAAAATTAAAACCATCAATTTATTTGCCCATCTGTAGAAATAAGCTGCAATTATCAATAAGAGCACTGACTCACAATAGAAGCAAAATAAAAACAAGCAAGCTATAGATGAGGGAATGATAGAGCTCAAAGCAAGAAACTGGTATACTGGGAACACTAAAGGATCTGAAACACCAGTATCATACAGACTTTACAGTAACTTTGAAAATAACTGTTTTGTATTATTTTACCTGAGAGAGAGATAAATCTTTTCTTTTTTCTTTTTTTTTTAAAGACGACATTACCATTTAACATATCAGACTTCAGCATTGCACATAAACTCTTTAAAAGAAATTCTATTTGTAAGATCGGTCAGTTCAGTTAAATTGTGAATTCCCAATTTTATATATTTCTGAAGATACATGGATCTTGTTTTTTGAGAGAAGAGCAGGCTAATTTTATAAAAGGCTATTCTTGCAATATTTAGCATTTAAATATATAAAAAGCCAAAATTATATGGATTTAGCCTTCATAGGTTTAAAGGAAGCATTTGACTCTAGACAGATAACCTGGCAATAGCATTGATGAATGAGGCTCTCTCACAATTAATTGTTAATTACTATTCAAATACACTATTTAGGATGCATTATAGGATTGGCGGTGCCCTGTCCAATAGTTTCCATACTGAGACAGACGTACAAGAAAGATTTTTGCTTGCTCTGCTACTTTCTAATTTATTCTTGATTGAATGATCTAAAACAGGTGCTAACAGAGAATTAATTCCACACACCCTGCTATTGAATTACCATATTCGTGTCTTAATTAATACTTAATCTTAAAGCATGGCACAATCCCATAAAGCCTCTAAAGGTTATTAGGTGCTTTTCATAAGTATCGCATCTCAAGTTTCTTGGAAATTATCACAGCAAAATCAAAAATATTGGACTTTGGGAATGGAAGGAAAAAATAAGGTTGGTTTTTATTAATGTATTCCTGTAACAAACTAGAGGGGGTGTCTTTTTTTAAATATCTTGGAATCTAGCCTAGAGAAAAAACAGCTGGAATATGCGCATTGAAAATGTAAACACTAGAGCAAAACAAGCCTTGGGAGGAGTTTTGTTCATTTTACAATAAAGGAGTAGAAAAGCAGTTATGGCAGCACTAAAGATCTATAGATCTAAGGTAGAGTGCATTTTATTGTATGGATATTACCCAGAATACTGGGTGATGACCCTACAGTTCATTCAAAAACAAAAAAGATTTCTAATTCCTTTTAAAGATTTTTTTTATCTCTACCATATTCTATGAGAGTTGGTGAGGGAGGACCACATTTACTCTGAAGGACTGATAAGTGTAAACATTCTAGTTCAATGAATCTAAACTACTGAATGAAAGATATTGTACGCTTACCAGACACCCTACAAAAAGGGTGGCCATCGTAGAGGCCAATCCAGTTTTCTGCTACTCTGTCTTCTATTAATATGAAACCGGGAGCCTTTATGTCCTCTGTTTTTTCTTCAAGAGAAAGAAAGAATTCTGAAGAGAAAAATAGAGGACATAAAGGCATCCAGTTTTGTATCAACAGAGGACAGAGGATAACTGGACTGTTCTCTATGATGGCCACCCTACTTACAAAGTCCATTCTAGCAGCTCCTCCTTTTCCAAATAAACCCTTGTTTTGGGTGGCAAAATAACATCTATATTCTTCTCCAGACTAATAGCCTGGGAAATGTACTGAGAGTCACAGTCCCAATATTTCCCCTATATTAAAACAAGACATACATTTATGAATTAAAGATGCCAACATGCAGACAGATATGCTGTCCATGAAACTCTATCAAAAGTCCCCTTTTTAAGATTAATACAGCACTCCTTTGGCCCAGAAACCTATCTGTCTGCGTCGCAAAACTGCAAACAATGAGAGGCCATTACTACTAAACAGATTCACTTTAATGAGATCTGAAGTTGTCATAGGAAGCTAATACTGGACCCCGTATTCAGACAGGATATGTTTTTATGGATAGAATTCTACAGATCACTTAATTTTGTGGCCTTGTTTGTTCTTTGAAGAAATAAAGGGAAAATTGATCTCTCCATTAATGGGAAATATTAAATATTAGGCTAAAAGGAAAGTGAATCTGACTTCTCTAACAATTTGTAGTCTGCCCTATATTGCTTTGTTGTGTTTACGTTACTTACACAGTGAATAAGGGCCAAAATAAAATATAATCCCCCTGCCTTGTTTTATTGTCCACTGATTAATTTTTTTTTTTACATCAACATATAGTCTGCCCTGTTTCGACTGTGTATAAACTGATAGAATGGATATTCTTATTGTATTTTAGCAAAAAGTATAATTTATATGTGCTATTATTTTATTTATACATTTTATTGAATTGTTTTTAGCTAAAGCTGAATATAAACTACTACTACAGTTAAATTGTATTCTTTTTTGGCAAGGGTCAATTGTCTGATGTTTAACCCAATATGGTTCCTTAAATAAATTATCTGATTTTCAAATATCATAATTATAGTAGAATAGGACAATGACTGTAAAAACCCATTTGCCTCTGTGGCCATTTCCAGACAATGCTGTTAGGTTAACAATAATGTGAATTTTTGGGGAGCACTGGATCTGCAACTGAATAAAGGCCTTTTTTCTGTGTTTCAGCAGAGCTGCTGGTCATGAGGCAGAATGATGTATTAAAATAACCTTGCAAATGCTTAGGTAAGCAGTTTTCTAACAAGGTCATAGTGTTAGAGCCCATTGTGTAAGAAGAACAAGATGCAGCCCACCAGCTATCGTCAGGAGATAAGGCCGAAGCAAGGCCTTGGAGATGGTGCTGAAGTCACCAAAGAACCAGAAAAAAACAGTGATTGACCGAGAGTACCCGAATTCATGACCTTATGCATCTACTCTTAGCAGAGGGGCATGTAAATGAATGAAATACATAGGCAATTCCATGCTAATAAAATAAACAGTAAACAGAGGTGGAGCTTGGGATGGGAGGAGAAATGGGTAGAACCTGAGAAGGAACAGAGGTGGAACAAATGTTAACACAAAGTGTACAACAAAGTGTATAAAATGTGAAAAGAACTATTGTTCAGTGCGGCTCCCCAGTTTGTTGTTTTTTGGGAGCTCGTCCGAAGCTGTCTCCATTCTAAGTAAAGCTGTTGCGAGCAATGTGTGCTGTTGTTTGCTCCTTGCTTGCTCTGGCTAATGAGTAACAGGATCCATGAGCAATTGAACCATTGTCTCCCTTGTCATTGGGTGCCGCATGCAGCCAGGGTCTAACAAATGCAATATGTAGGGTAGATATGGCTCACCCATCAGACCTCTTCTTGGAAAGTATTATTCTTGGAAAACTTAAACTAATAAGTTACTGAAATGAACAAATTGGCTTGTTCACCAAAGATCAGTTACTATCTGCAGTATAAGGGCATGTGTAGACAAAACAGGGGCCCTACCTGCCTCTCTGGCGGTGGGGAGGGGAGGGCAAGCTGCTGACATGCAAAGTGGTCCCTGGGCTTTGAGTGGGGGGCTGGTGCTTCCCTCCATGGCAGTGGAGGTCCCCCACCTAGACAGCACCTGCCCACAGGCACCTGGCTCGGGTGGTCTTGGGGAGTACCGCAGCCACAGAAGGAAGCTCCAGACCCCACCTCAGCTCAGGCAGGCAGGCAGGCAGGCTCTGGTGGGGGAAATCAGGCTTGCCAGTTTTCTTGGATGAAGCCTGCCTTCCTGGGCTGCATCCAGGCTGCCTGCAGGACTTCCTGCAGAGACATGGAGCGGCATGGAGCCCAGTGATTTGCTCCGTGGCTGTGCCTCAAGTCATTTAAGGGGCATTATGCTGTCAAATTTCCTACAGTGGCTGGAATTAATGCACAATACTCTGCCGAAGTGTGAAAACACTGACACCATTAAAGCTGTGCCAAACCATTTAGCCTGCTTCAAAGTGTTTTGAAGCAATGGAAATGAAACTTTCCTGTGATTCTATGATCCTGAAAAACATTTTTCTGAGGCTAGAAATGGACAAGTAAGTGGAAGTGGATCAGCAGTGGTAGGACATGTTCCACCACAGCTGATCCACTTTATTAGGGGATATATACATCACCCCTTCTCCCACACTGGGCTTTCCCCACTTGACAGTGGTGATGTGGGGGGGGTGCAGAGGGGTAAAGACACTTCTGGAAGTGGCCACAGTAATTGGCTGCTTTGCGATTGGCCACAGGGGATCCCACACCAGTCAGCAAGATCGGCAGTGAGGGACCCCCCCCAGTTTCTGACTGGTTGCTGGGGGTGGGGCATGTGCCCCCCTGACTAAGGCGGCACCAGTCATCCATGTAAAGAGATATACCTCTGGAAGGTGTGGGAGCTGGAGAATCCTTGGAGTCCTGTGCTTCCACTCTGGGCATTAACCCATGCTTCATGTGGAGGTATAGGTCAGCATAGTTTGGGGTGTGGAAGTGTGGGAGCTGGGGATTCCCTGGCTCCTACAAAGCCCCAGGCTTCTGTGTCACCCTGTGCTATTAATAGATTAATAGATTTATAGATGTTAGGGTCAGAAGGGACCTCAATAGATCATTGAGTCCGACCCCCTGCATAGGCAGGACAGAATGCTGGGTCTAGATGACCCCATCTAGATGCTTATCTAACCTGCTCTTGAAGACCCCCAGGGTAGGGGAGAGCACCACCTCCCTTGGGAGCCCGTTCCAGACGTTGGCCACTCGAACTGTGAAGAAGTTCTTCCTAATGTCCAGTCTAAATCTGCTCTCTGCTAGCTTGTGGCCATTATTTCTTGTAACCCCCGGGGGCGCCTTGGTGAGTAAATACTCACCAATTCCCTTCTGTGGCCCCGTGATGAACTTATAGGCAGCCACAAGGTTGCCTCTCAACCTTCTCTTGCGGAGGCTGAAAAGGTCCAGTTTCTTTAGTCTCTCCTCGTAGGGTGTGGTCTGCAGGCCCTTAACCATACGAGTGGCCCTTCTCTGGAC